TATATATATATATTTTTTTTTCCCTTCTGAACAGCTTTGGATGACATGTTAGGACCAGAAAATGGCACCGCTGGAATCCTGGTTAGTTCAGCTGTGGAGGTTAATTTAGGAGGCAAACTTCTCAAGCCTGCAGGTAAAAAAAAACAAAAAAAAAAACAGCAACACCGGTTTCTCAAAATGCTGTTTTCTGTTGCTCACTTGTTGCTCCCCTTTGATTTCTCCGGCTTGCTGTGGCTGTTAGTGGTGGGCGTAAAGCTGGACCTGGAAGCGTGGGTAGACAAGTTCAAGATACTGGCCAGCAACGTGTCAGACACCCGGCAAGGCTCCTACAAGGTACGTCTCAATCGTTTTTTACTTTGCTATTGCCGTCCGATTGCCTCACCAAACATTTTGTCACCAAACATTTTGTCACACAGTGTGGACCATCAAGGAGCTGTGAGATGGACTGTGAGGTGAACACTGATGTAAGCCACACCAAACGTTGAATGAAGGGTGTGATGAGCTGACATGAATCCGGTATCTATTCATGTCAGCTAATTCCTCATGACAATGACGTCTAACGTATGACAATGTGTCTGTTGTCAAAAGGACCTCCTCTGCTACCTCATTGATGACGGTGGCTTCCTGGTTATGTCTAATCAAAGAGATCACTGGAAAAAGGTCAGTATCTCAGCATAACAGGTGTCAAGGGAAATAATCGCAAAAGCATACAAAGAAAGAGAGATTACCTACAGGTGGTGAAATCTCTATCAACCTACTGTGTGTACTTGATGTAAAATGTTTTCAAACCACTGCTGTAAATGTATTTCTAGTTGTTGCCTTGTTTCTGTCAGTGCAGTAACACTATCTGCTCTAAAGATGGCAGCAACTGATCATGAAATGCAATGATGATTACGAATGTACAAAATTAAAAAATAACACATTTGCTAAAAATGGGCAGTGAACTTTTCTGATACTTGCTGGGACCGAGACAAACTGTCTTGTTTTTCTTCTTGTTGTGTTTTGACAATTGTCTGGCTTGCCTGCCCTGTTATCGATCCCCCGTAGTTGAAATAAAAGAGGCCGGGTTTTCCTTTTCTTACAGATCGGACTATTTTTTGGAGATGTGGACCCATACTTGATGCACGCGCTCTATAACAACTCCATCTTCAACCGCCGACAGACTTTTCATTTCCAGTCAGCATGTGAGCCTGTCAGCAGCAGCCACACCGGGGCAGCACCTCGACGCTTCTTTTTGGTAAGAGGAAGCCTTGTGCTTTCGTTTGTCAGGAGCTTCATCGTATTGAATCCTCGTGTTCATTAACTAATGCCTTACACAACAAAAATACCCCCCGCCTCCCACGCCTACCGCCACACATACTCTCACATGCACATACGGTACATTCTCCTCCTCACATACACACACTCAATATAAGAACGCCACGTGAGTGTGAGGAATGTATTGGAAATTGTGACCCTGGCACACATGAGCGAGTTAGCGGTGTTGTTTCATCAATATCGTATGGGTGACGCATTTGTCATTGTCATTGGAACCATGCATTGTCTGCGCCGAGGATGCGTTCAACCACCCCTCTTAACCCCTTGATGCTTTCTGTAGCCATCCGTCGCTGACATCCTCAGCTTGGCGTGGTGGACGTCCACGGTGGCCTGGTGAGACTTCATTTTTAAAAAAATAATATTTCAATTCAAATGTTCATGTCATTGTAATCCCCCCAAGGCTAAAATCAATACACACTCAGCTGCCGTGCGGGGGATTAATGGGGGGGAGGGCGAGGGTTCGGGCGGCGCATGCTCAAGTGCCCTCGACGGCTCGTTTTAGATTTTACATGCTGTCCGCAGCGGGAGAGGATTTACAAAGTCCAAATCCTTCCAGATGAGCTCCTGCCGCCCAGTTTACTGCACTTCAAGTTCACATCAACTGACACGTCTGCATGCAGCTTGCCCTTTAAAGCAATCCTAACTGTCTCATGACTTTCGTGCATGGAGCTGCTCAGGCGTCAGCTGCCTCTCCGTGTCTCTGTCTGACTCATCTATTTGCAGCTCAACATTACGTGCATTTTTTTGTTGAGGGCTTTAATTATTATTATTATTTTTATTGATTTATTTATTTTTTTTCCTTTTTGGGGTACAGTACTTTTTAACAAGGGATAACTTTTCTTCAGGTCTTTGATCCAGCAGCTACTTTACGGACTGGCACACATCAGCTGGCTCCAACAAGGTATGAGTGTTTTCCCAAAGGTTGGACACAAGAAAGTCAAAAATCTAAACTGCATTTCTTTTCCAATTTCTTGCTTTGATAAGAACAGATCACCACAAAAGCACAATTTTCAGAATATGTATTTTTGTGGTATGTCCTGTTAACATTGAAACACGCTTTCAGTCTTCTGTTTACACTCAAAGGTACGCATGTCAACTCGAATCAGAATCAGAATCATATTTATTAGTTTGGGCCATTATAGCAACCCCATATATGTGTGTGTCATATGTTAAATAAAGCTGTATTGTATTGTATTCCCTTTAGTGTAGCTCCATCTAGTGGATGCAGAGCGCAACCGCAGCCATTATTGGAGGTTCAATTCAATACGCCTTATAATGCAATGCGCCCTACATATGAAAACAGTTTTAGGCCATTCATTGAAGTTGCACCTTATAATCCGAAGCGCCTTATAGTGCAGAAAATACGGTGTGTTAAAATGTGTTTTATTTCCAGACGACATCTTCATAGAAGGCTTTGAGATAAAGACGAGCAGCTGTGTGACCATCCAAAGCCAGTTCTTCTTCACCAACACCACCAACTCGTATAACGTGCTGCAGGATTGTGGCAACTGCTCGCGGTGTGTTTTTCATTTCAGCCCCCCCCACTGCAATGTTCGCCGCCATATCTCGTGTACTGTTCACATGCTGCATCCAAGTCTCTCTCTCTCTCTCTCTCTCTCTCTCTCTCTCTCTCTCTCTCTCTCTCTCTCTCTCTTTCTCACTTTCCCGTTGGGTCCTCCCAGGCTGTTCCACGCCAAGCGGATAGAAAACACCAACCTCCTCTTTGTGGTGGCCGAGACGCTCCCCTGCAGCTCCTGTGAGATCGAGAGGCTGAGCCAAGTCAAGACGGAGTGTATCCTTTCTCACTCACACACACACACACACACACACACACACACACACACACACACACACACACACACACACACATATACATACTCACACATTAACGTTAGCACTGGTGTCCTCAACCAACAACACTCAGTCCAGGAGGAAAATCCTTGCGAGGTACTGAGCAACGCACGATATCGGAGAGGTCCGACAAGCTGCCTTGACTTCAGTGCCTTAGTGAGTAGAAAAACAATACAAAAACATGAGGTACTCTGCTCCATTTAGCATTTCGGAACTACAGATTTTTTTATGGAGAATATTTGATGTCCACTAGCAGGGGCTTTGGACTTTTGATGTAATTGTAAATACGGTCGAACCAATTTGCATTGCATGAATTGCCACGCCTTCACTTGCTGCACTCACGAATAAAAAAAAAAAAAAAAAAAAAAAAAAAGCAGCATTTCGTTTGATCTCATTCATTGTTAAAATGTGTCCAGTATGTATCGTAGTTTATTTGAACCTGTTGTAAGTCGACGCTTGAGTTTTACATTCAATCCACTGGAGTCATAAAAATAACCAAACAAATAAATAAATAAATGCCATTGTCCACATGCTTCCGGGCCGAACTTTACTAAAATCAAGAGTGCACGTACAATGTTATATAATATCTTGTTCATTTGCAGGAAAATACTTCCGAGTGTGGACGGGCAGATTTCGTGCAGCCCTCCATGGGGGTCCTTCTTGTCCTTCAACTCATTCTGCCTTTCTTGCGCCACTGACGCGTGCTGCCATTCACTGACATGTCGACTAAAGGTCGGGTACCCAAAGCAAGTGACTCATCTTCTGGATCAGCATTTTTTTTCTTTTTATTTCTCACTGGTCAGTTGAAACATTCCTTTAACCGGACAACAAAATAACACTCAAGTGGGACACTTGTCAATTTGGGGCCAAATGAGGTGATAAGGAATTCGTTATCATCTCTTCCTCTCTGGAGCGTTCCGGCATATAAGAGCCACGAATTGATGCTGAATGTGCCCCGGCGATATAAAATGTGCTCACGCTTCAATGCAATGAATGCTGATGAGTTCACACAAGTTCTGATATCATGATGGTAAAGAGATTCTACACAAATGAAAATGGATAGAGAGACTTTAGAGCTCAATTCTGACCAACAGCACACATTTTTTTTTTTTTTTTTTTTTGTGGCCTTTTCTTCGCATTAAAGTTCTTTGACCAAGCGGGAGTACAAATTCTAATCACTGGTCACATGATGACCTGTTTACAACTTGTCTGTGACACTTAAAAGTTACAAACCAAGCATTCTTAAGAAACGGGACCATACGTATCCGTGACCAAATAATTGTGGTGAAATGTCTGAGAAGATCTTGAAGTGCTTCCGTTGAGAAAAAAAATAAAAACATGACGCACATGACATTTGGCAATTAAAATTGAATATCATGGTCATTTATATGGATTCAAACAGATTAGAAGGTGAAATAATGCAGTGTTCAGTGCAATAATGCTGTGGTAGATGTTTGTTTTTGTTTTGTTTTTTTTTTAAAACACAATACAGTTTGATTTAAATGTAGTATTTGGTTGATCAGTTCATTTAATCGCTTCATAAAGAACCAAATCAATTTATAACAATGCAACAGGACTTTGAATGAGATGTTTGTTAGCAATTCCAAATCTTGAATGCTTTATGCTATTCTGCAAGGGTGAAGTGATGCGTTTGTGTTTGCTTCTTGTACAGGGAGCATAAGCTTCTGAGCAGCTTTCTGTGTTCTCTGTATCGTGTGTGACAACTTTTCATTTTTGAAAGTGACTCGTCACTGTGGCACGGCGTTTCCTTATGACAGCAATATCAATTTTATCCGTACAAGTCTCAAGCAAGTTTCATTCTTTAAAAAAAAAAAAAAAAATACTGCAATAAGGTACATTGTTGAATTCAACTGACGGGGCCAAGTCTTGCGGGAATTTTCACGACCCCAGTTTTAAAATGTTTTAGTTTCTATTTTAGTCCTGTTGATATTGCAGATCAGCTTGCACACAAACCAAATACAGTCGAAGCATTTCTTCATGCACCACCTCTGCCCTAGAATCATCCCACGATGGCTCAACTTTACAGTTCAATCCAAGTGAATTGCAATTTCCGCCGGCAACCCTCAGCACGTTGCGTTGTTTCAGATCGCAACTCACGACGCCATCCTTGTCCCCGCGACGCTATTAACCCTTTTCAGGGACAGCGGTCACTACAGTGGACAGCTTATCATGTTATCAGGTTACAGGGTGCGTGAAAGGGTCAAAATCTTGTTGGGGTTTTTTGAAGCTATTTGAGGAGAAAATAATGTGACCGCAGAATACCGGTCTGTCTTTTTCCCCTCTGCCCGCCTGATTTTTTTCATCCTGCAGTGCCTTGTGGCACTCACTTTGGATGTTACGTTGACGTTCATCCTGCATCCTGCATATCCCATGCGAAGGACTTGGGAAGGTTGCAGTGAACAAACGACACTTGATTGCACCTCAAGAACAAATGAGACTTTTTTCCATTCAAGAGCACAGCACAGTTTAAGAAGGGCGGGGCCACCTTGTGGAAGAATGGTTGTGAAAATGGGGCCCGCTGCTGTTTTCTTGACTCAAAGCACAGGCTTTGCCCGTTTTCGTACATTTCTTCCACATTTCTCTCATTTTGCGTCTTTCCCGCCACGAATGACTGAAATCAGTGAATGTTTGCGTTGTCGGGCTATTTGTTTTGCATCTTTGCCGTGCCCCAGCATGGTCGGGAGATGGTGTGCCAGGAAGATTGCTTTCAAAAGACTTTTTTTTAAAACTGCTTTTAACCCCGTGGCTTTGAATTTCGGTCTTAAAGCAACAATGCTGTATATTGAGCAAAAAAAGTGTTGAGAAGCCACAAAGTATTCATGAAGGTCAGTGTTGTAGTTTTGTTTTCAATGACCGCTATTTATTTGCATGATGTTTTGGAACCCTTGGAAAAAATTTTGTGTACATACTTGAAAGGATATGAAACATTCCTCTTGTGCACATCTTGCGGAAACGAATGAGGAACAACGTTTGACTTCAGTGAAGCCAAAAACACTTTTATGTATTTATTCAGCTCAAAGAGGAAAAAAAAAAGGCGAGGGCATGTGTAAGGGATCTTATGAATTAATTTCTCAATAAAATTGATGTATTTGTTGCTGACCTCATTTACAATGGGTATGCATTTATTTGATCTGTATCTGTATATTTGTTTAAGACAGATAGGTATTGAATGTGTATGACACTTAGGCGGGTACAGTAAAAACAACACAAAAAATATCCAGAGATTAGAAATGACGATACACTGTCAGTTGATGTCTCAGAAAGAATGTTTCAATGTTTTTGCACTAACTTTGCTCTTCATTCGGCTTACATTGTCGTCAAGCGGGGATCGGCGTTCCGCTCTTTGTGCCAGCCTTCTCATCCTGCCACCTCATTTTTGTACGCAAAGCGTTCCGCAGAATACAAACGAGCTTAACTTTGTAAAACATTTTGTCAGTCCGTCACATTACAAATGGATATTTCAATGTTTATATCTTTGGTGATTAAATGCTCTTGATATTTTTCATTTTTCAGCTTTGCGTCATTATTATTCCTAGGAGGGATTGCAAAGTTTTCTCTACAGCTTTTTTGTCCTTGTACCACAAGGTGCAACGAAATGGAAGAGACACAACCTGTTCAAGAGACAAAGGAAAACAATGATCAACAGAGTGGTTGACGGTACCCCGTTTTCTCAAATGAAAAGAAAAACATGAGGAAGGAGAAAGGGAAATAAAACAGCCCCAGACTAAGCTCCTGTTGGCGAAGCATCGCCAAATCCATACGTGGGGGAGTACCGGGTATGTATGGGATCACTTTAAAACACTTTATAACAATTTAGCGAGAAAAAAAACAAACAAGTCTCTGCCATGCTGATCCAGCCACCCTTAAAGTCCCATCTTCAAAAAATTATTGATCATTTAAAATTTCAGGCATTCATAAAAGCCCGCCGAACTGACATCTCTGTAGCATAATGTGGTTTGACGGCTCTTCGATGTCACTGCCCTGTCAGCTGTCAAGGGTTAAAAACAATAAATGGTGTGGATCAGGCGACAAATCCTTCAGTCAAGTCGCTCGCGCAGTTGCTCACAGTGTCACTTCGTAAAAATACCAAGGAGAAACATGATCCTGACTCTTGAACATTCTGCACAAGCTTCTCCTGCTTGTTCTAGACCGTTTCATCATATAGACCAGGGGTGCCCATTACGTTGATCGCGATCGACCGGTAGATCGCGGACTTGTCCCAAGTCGATCGCGAGGGGTGTGGAGTAGAAAAAAAAAAACAAACAACCATTTGTGTGTCTTTGTGCATGTTAGTAATATATTTTTTTGTGTTAATGTACACTGCACCCACATGCGTGTGAATGTGCGTGCATGTGCGCGGTAACGGGTCGATCGCGGAAGGTTGGTTGATCGAAAAGTCGATCTTCGTTCCAAAAAGTTTGAGCACTCCTAATATAGACTATATCATGGACTATAAACTCCTTTAAAATGATAGTTTTTTTAGCTGCAAAATATTTAGTCGCAAGTGAGTAAGAGCAGTTGTCAATCAAATAAACACCAACAAATGAGACACATGAATAACTAGGTAGCATATGGACTACTAGTTAATGTTGCCTGTGCAGAGGGGGAAAAATGCTATGGAAAGGTTAAGCCAGATGTTGTTGGTGACTGATGTGATGAGAACAAAATTTTAGACCGGAGAGTTTTTTTAAAACGGTGACTCCTGCTGCGCGTCACCGTAATTCAGCAAGAACTAGACGAGGGTGTGTTATCGTTGGATGCTTCACATTCTGGGGTGAGCAGGTGCCTAATTAAGTGCAGTGCAGGGTGCAAAGGGCAGCCCTTATTTGTCACTATGTCAGTTGAACATACTCCCCAAAGAGGAAGCGCATAGTGGCAGCCGTTCGCTATGTTGCCTGCTGACAATTTTAGCACGTGTTGCACCTTCGGAACGGCGGCGCTCAATTTTGTTTGACGACTTTCCACTTTGGCAGTTGTCTTTTAAGAGACGACAAATGTTCCTATGTTCTGACTGTGCGGACTGATGAAGTCACTGGTCGGCAAACAAAAAGTTGTATGCGTAAAAAAAAATAAATAAATAATAAATCAATAAAAACATAACATTGGCAAAGACTGTCTTCAGAATTCACAATTGTCATTTCAGTTCTCTATAATGTCGTTTCGCCTTGGACAAATAATTTCTCTTGGCCATATATTTGTATGGTGTTTGTTTTTTCGAGATATTTACTCAATTGCAGATATGCGCAATGAAAATTGCAGCTGTCTGAAATGTAAATTATCTGGAGCTCCAGTTTGACGATAGTCATAATTCCAATTCAAATTACCGACATGCATTTAGTTATCGTAAATTAAGTTTGAACGAGGACATTGTAGATATCTCAAATATTCCTGACCCACAAAAAAAAAAAATGTCGACTGGAATTCTTCAAACCTGTTCTTCAGAGGCAACGGGGCCGGAGTTCACCTTCTGGATTCCAATCTCGGTTTTGTACCAGACACCTGAGCCTAAAGTAACCACACACACACACACACACACACACACACACACACACGCGTGCACGCAGTCTTACTTCCTACATCAATCATCACTAACATTGGCGCGTTCAAGAAAACGAAAGTCTTCAGACAGGCAAACTTGATTTATTGAATGTACATCTGCAGGATGTCATGAGAGTATTCCAATGAAAGCTCATATTTTATGATTCCCATTTTAATCCCTCACTGAGGTTGCATCTCATTCTTCGGCATCCTTCGCCTACAATGCGAACACAAGAAAGATGCGGTAGCTGTTTAGTGTCACATGACAGCAGAGCAGCGTGACAGCGACTATGCTTTTTCGCAACGTGATACTCACTTTTGCGATTTCCCGACTTTTGGCCCGCAGCTTGTTGACCTGTGACTCTGCAATGTCTGCGCGCTCCTGAGCCTCCTCCAGCTCGTGTTGAACCTTCCGCAGCCTGGACATGTGAGTGTTGG